ATTTGTATGTAGGCCTCTCCACTGTGCAGGCATGAATAACATCAATCACGGGTGCTACCTCAGTTGGCACCTCGGCTCACTCCCTCGCCGACCCGCCGGGACGACCCCAGTCGATAAATTTCCCAAGGTGTCCATCTCGCACCAATTGTTCGAAGAAGGATTTATAAACCTTGCAATCCTCCGTCAAATGGCCGATATCTTTATGATACGAACATCGGAAGGCTGCATTCCTTGTCAACGGGTCTCCAAACATCCTCGGGGGCCACTTGAAGTAGGGTTTGTTTTTTATTTTGGGAAGTATCCTGTGAATAGGCTTGTTGAAGACCGTGTTCACTCCTTGGAAGGATAGACGAGTTGGGGGTGAAACAGGCCCTCCCCTTCGGGCTGGCTACNGGAAGTATCCTGTGAATAGGCTTGTTGAAGACCGTGTTCACTCCTTGGAAGGATAGACGAGTTGGGGGTGAAACAGGCCCTCCCCTTCGGGCTGGCTACTCCATTTTCCTCTTCCTTGACACCGTGACCCTGCTCTCGGGCGCGACGAATTCTTCTTCCACCAGGGCATATTTGTTAATCCAAGTCATCAAGTCTTTCATGTCCGTCGGAGCCTTCTTAGTCAGCGATTTATACAAATCAGTGTCCCGGGAGAGCCCCAGCCTAAATGATGCCGCGGCCAATGCCTCCGAACAAGCTTCCACCTCATTCACTTCATCCCAATACCGGACAGCATATTGTCGGAGTGTCTCTCCCCCTTTTCGCCTAAGCGTCAACAAAGCCCCGATGTCCTTCGATTTCTTACTACTGGTGATGAATCGAGCTATGAAGAGCTCCGTCAATTGTTTCCAGGACCAAACGTTCTCAAGAGCAAGGTTCTCATACCACCTCATGTCTGTGTCCCCTAGGCTCATGAGAAAAACTAGGCACAACACCCTTTGGTCAATATCATAGATTGACATCAATTGTCTGTATTACCGAAGGTGGCTCTCGGGATCGGTTTTACCATCATAGACTTTGAATCGTGGGATGATAAACTTATTTGGCATCTCGGCCTCCCCGATAGCCCAGACAAACAGTGAGATCACTTCTTCGAAGTAGACCTCGGGCTCATGGTTGCGCTGAGCAACGAAGGGGACCCTAGGATCCTTTTTTTATCTTTCTTCTCGAGGCCNAACAGTGAGATCACTTCTTCGAAGTAGACCTCGGGCTCATGGTTGCGCTGAGCAACGAAGGGGACCCTAGGATCCTTTTTTTATCTTTCTTCTCGAGGCCTTTGGGGTATGGACTCTGCTTGTGATTCGGCGGCTCCGACGCCCTCAGGTATCCCTCGACGTAGGTCCCACCTAAAAAAGCTTGCCTTCTGGCCTAATTCTGACTTCCACTTGGAGGCTGAGAACCCTCCTTGGCGGTTACGTCCCTCAAGCGACTGCCTAATCCAATCTTTCTTGGAAGGCCAATGCCAGGGGGCCNTTCCACTTGGAGGCTGAGAACCCTCCTTGGCGGTTACGTCCCTCAAGCGACTGCCTAATCCAATCTTTCTTGGAAGGCCAATGCCAGGGGGCCTGGACAGGTTCTGGCTAGGCACCTGGTCCCCGAACCCGCGACTATGTTCACCCGCGCTCGCTGACTGCTCGAAATCGTCAAGATGTTGCTGGACCATGGTGTTTTCCCTTTCAAGCTGCTTAATGTGTTTGTCCATCCGCATTTCCACCATCTCAACGATGTCATGGGCCATAAGGTCACGCCCCCTAAGGCCCTGATCCATAGGGAGCATTCTTTACGAAGAATGTCCAACCCCATCTGATTGGCCCAATGAACTCGGCTCCCGAACCATTGGAAGCCGGACAAGCTCTGTGCTCTTGGNATTCTTTACGAAGAATGTCCAACCCCATCTGATTGGCCCAATGAACTCGGCTCCCGAACCATTGGAAGCCGGACAGGCTCTGTGCTCTTGGCCCGTACACTTGCTCCCTCACCCTGAGATCGAGTGTTCACCATCAGACGATCGCTACTGGAAAAAATGCCTTCGTTTCCCACAAACAGTGCCAAATTACACAGTANAGCCGGACAAGCTCTGTGCTCTTGGCCCGTACACTTGCTCCCTCACCCTGAGATCGAGTGTTCACCATCAGACGATCGCTACCGGAAAAAATGTCTTCGTTTCCCACAAACAGTGCCAAATTACACAGTATAATTCCTATAATAGTATGAGACAGCGATCTCCAAGTTGGCGAACCTGAAACAACAGGATCAGAAAAAAGGGGGTCAGACAAGCACCCGGCTAATCCCCTCCGAAGCTTAAGTCAGTATAAAGTTGAAGGGTTTTGCTCAATGGACTATTTTTCTGATTCAAGTTTGCGTAATTTTGTCCATTNAGTATAAAGTCGAAAGGTTTTGCTCAATGGACTATTTTTCTGATTCAAGTTTGCGTAATTTTGTCCATTTTTTTTAGGAGTATTTATACCTGAACTAGCAATGATTGCCAAAGATCTCCAGTCTCATCTGAACATTTTACATCTGACACACCATTTCTCGTGCAATGAGTGTTTTCTACTCACGTCTCCTCCTATTAAATGCTAGAAAAATGGGGTAAATGCTCGGCCAAATGCCGAGCATTCATGCCACTCCCCGAGTACCCAGATCGGCATCCGACATCAACTAAGCATTGAATACTCGGGGGGAACAGTTCCTCGGGGGAGCCGACCGCGTTATCTCGGCGCATCAGCCATTAACGCTTAGTCATCATGACAGTAGGCTTAGACTCCCAAAGGACAGGTGCTGGCAGGCTCGCATTTATTTGTCTTGTCACTTTCACTCATTCCGCCATAAATGAGGAGTCACATCGCATTAAATACGATGTCAGCTGTTATATCCGACNACCCAAATCCCCCAGATCGGCATCCGACATCAACTAAGCATTGAATACTCGGGGGGAACAATTCCTCGGGGGAGCCGACCGCGTTATCTCGGCGCATCAGCCATTAATGCTTAGCCATCATGACAGTAGGCTTAGACTCCCAAAGGACAGGTGCTGACAGGCTCGCATTTATTTGTCTTGTCACTTTCACTCATTCCGCCATAAATGAGGGGTCACATCACATTAAATACGATGTCAGCTGTTATATCCGACTGCTCTGTGTCACCATACCTCAGCTTACTTCCTCGGCACCCTTTGGACATCCCAACGACTTCATTATTCCATGTGTCAACCCAGGACCTGTAGAACCACCTAAAGTCCTGCTAGTTACCATCATGAAAGAACCCACCTCTTCCAAAGTCCTGGAAACTGAGCAACTTATGACTCACTCTCCCTCAAGGAATTGTTCTTTTGAGCGTTCAATCAAGCGTTGTGGCATGTTTATTGCTGCACAACGCGCTCAGCACAGCAACAAGCTTATGGAGGTACATCGATCAATCGAAATGTGTTTGGCATTATGAAAATGGTCAAACGCCAAAGGTGGTCGAGGCCATTGTAATAATGATCGGCATCACTACCAATTAGACACGTCAACCTTGTGGGTGGTCGACGTACCCATCCGGTGCTCATTAGAAATCAATAGTCGCTTCGTATCCCCTACATGCAGCTCGGTGTATACAGTCTGACCAGGTTCGGCATAACCCCGAGCATATTTTGAAGAAGACTGCTATCGGGAATGGAGCTTTAAGTGTTTGGCCCTCCCCCACTATCAAGCTATGGGGGTCAGGCTTTTCCGAATAATGCAGGGAATACGCCGAATGGAGAGGTTAGCGTACCTTCTGTCAAGTGAACATGCTCGGCACTTGAAATAGTGAGTCTGTCATCAATTGGTGTTTTTCCTTGCCTATGGGCAAGAGACTTTGCTCAGCCTATCCCCTTGAATGCTCTTTTTTACTGGCAACACTCCCACTTCGGCATCGCGAAAATGTAGAGTTCTTTAGATAATCACAAAGAGAACGCGACATACGTGCACAAGCAAAACTATTTCTTGAACCCGAGCATAGACAAATCCAACAACTCATACCAAGAGTGTCATCCATGAAATCCCAGTTTAAGTCTCGCCTTCATTTCAATCTTGGGAAGTGCTGGACTATCTTCTCTAATGCAATCGGTGTATTTACTCAATTCTCCCACCGACAAGAAAGTCCCAACAATTGAAAGCATTTCACCCTAAATTTCAGCTCACCCAACACTATTTCAGGCTCTTAAAGTCAAGGGCATCAAATCAATATTTTTCTCTGGGTAACCTCTCACTCCAAGCTTGTTACGGAGCTTTAATGTGTTATCAGGGCTTCGATGATCTCGCTCACGTACGATCGACATCATTATTTAAATCTCAGCTTCTTGGCTAGTCAACCTTTCTACTCGGCCATTCAATGACAGTTGGGTCGGCAGAGGCCACAACATCAATAGAGAAAACGATCGGCCTCACCATAAAAACCCGAGTGGTCTAGGTGGTCTGTCCAATCAATGGTAGTGAATACAATCAAGGATATCGAGCAAATTATGGTCCACCCTCAAGATTTTTTCATTCTTTTGCAAATAATAAATGATCACAGAGGTGATCGGGTTTTCACTGAAGATTTGTTCCCCATAAATCCATCTTCCAGAACTTAAAAGAATCTGTCGACATGCACTGTTAGGCTTTTTTGTCGACACAAAAGTCCATCTCGGGCTCTTTTGACTTGGAAGTCTTTTGAAATGTAGCATCCGATTCATATCTCCAAATGAGCAAACATGCTCGGCATAGCCTAGAAGTTGTTCGACACCAATACATCGGTGCCATCAAAGTGGAGACAAAGTTGCAGCCCAATCTCTTTATAGTATCTTGCCACCTGTGGTTAGAATCAGCCTCTGATTAAAGCAAAAAGAGAATATGCTCCGAACATCATTCTGTAAACATGGATCGAGAAAGTTTTTCTTCGACATTGGCTGTGTTATTTTGTACCAACGAAATGATTTACGTGGCAAATTGTGATTGCCACACTTGGATTTAAGCAGTTCGAACTTAGTAAAGGACCTCTCTGTCATGAATGCTTCCAAAGACATCAAAAATGAGTTGAGATCAATTTGGGTTTTTGCCTCAACTATGATGAGATTAGCACATCCGAAGCCCAGTATTTCGGGTTCTCAACCTAGCCTTTCGACATTTAGAGTTTGAACTGGCAGAGCATCAATTCAATCTCTATCGAAGCTAAGTACATCACCAATGGGTTTTGCTCCAGCAAAGGCAGCGATAATGCCCAATTTCCAAGGAGGTTCTCATTTGGGCATTTGACTGAGCACCTTCAGCTTGCTAGACCTCATGACAACCATGCAAACTCAAGGCTTACCAGAATTCTTGATCAAGTGACATTAGTGGTAATTGACAAAGAAATGCTCGGTCCCAGTTGTAAGGTCTTCCATGGTACAGGAATCTATGAGAAACATGCTGCTACCAAATGGGCAATTTTCAAATAAATTGGTAATATGAACACTGTGGGGCAACGACCCAAACCAAGCAGAAATAAAAGCAAGAAACCCGAGGCACTCAATGACATCAGATCAAGTTTTTGGATTGAGAACTCTAGGTGGAAATAAGACCTACATGTCTACGTATTCGTATGGGCTCCGGGCCCTCAAAGTGGGTAACCCTTTGCTCGGCCAAAGTACCAAAAGTCCTAATGTAGGCATAAAACTTCTCGGANACTCTAGGTGGAAATAAGACCTACATGTCTACGTATTCGTATGGGCTCCGGGCCCTTGAAGTGGGTAACCCTTTGCTCGGCCAAAGTACCAAAAGTCCTAATGTAGGCATAAAACTTCTCGGAGACAAGTTCAAGAATTTGGACTCGGGAGTACTCCTTGTTTAGGGAGGTGGTATGAGACTCGAGGTTAGACTTCGAACACGGGTAAGCCTTTGCATGGCCAAAGCACCCAAAGCCCTATGTGATTAGGCATCTGATGGGCTCCGGGCCATAGACACGGGTAAGTCTTTGCTCAACCAAAGTACCAAAAGTCCTAAAGTAGGCATAAAACCTCTTGGGGACAAGTTCAAGGACTTGGACTTGGGAGTACTCCTTGTTGAAGGAGGTGACATGAGACTTTGGGTGAGACACTAGACCTAGTGCAATACAGTTACAAGGGAAAGCTTGACCCAGCGTCAACATTCATGTCAGACATGAAGCCCTCTCAAGAAGAGTCTCACTGAAGGGGCCTTGAATTGCCTAACTACATGTTTGATATATTCAAGACTCAGTTCAATAAGGTACGTTTTTATTTATTTCAATTAAGCGTTAATTGAACATAATNCATGTCAGACATGAAGCCCTCTCAAGAAGAGTCTCACTGAAGGGGCCTTGAATTGCCTAACTACATGTTTGATATATTCAAGACTCAGTTCAATAAGGTACGTTTTTATTTATTTCAATTAAGCGTAAGAAAGAGCAAGACTCAAACGCCCAGTTGGTCATCAAACTTGATACTGTCAAGGCCAAGGAGCAGATATGTTCGGGCCTTTTTTATGAACATTCTAAAGGAGCCAAGATTATTCGATCCCTCTTCAGAGGACGTGATGTATTCGGCCTCTTTTTACAAGGGCATACTTATTTGGACCTTTCTCAAAGACCAAGGTTATTTGGTCCCTCTTCAAAGGACCAATTATTATTGTCCTCTTTAGGCTAGCTCATCTCAACGATTCGTTGCATTCGATTGTAGTAACCCTTCTCGGGGTTTAGATACTGTTATCTTTGTTAGAGTTGGATATGGCATATCTATGGTTATTTCATTCGGGATTTAAATCTCTCGAGCAGACATCTAATGATTATCTTCGGTATTCCTTGAGCTGCTCAATGAAGGACTTCATTATTGCTCGGCATCAAGGGACAGATGTGTTTGAGCTCTCTTTATTGATTCCCCCTTCAGACNGCTGCTCAATGAAGGACTTCATTATTGCTCGGCATCAAGGGACAGATGTGTTTGAGGTCTCTTTATTGATTCCCTCTTCAGACCACTCATGTATTGAGACCATATGCATAGAGACCTTCTCCCAAATATCAAGATTGTCCATCATATTGTGGGGGCACTGTATTCGGTCTTTCAAGGATCAGATTTATTCGATCATGCCTAGGTCTTATTTGGTTGATCTCCGTAGGCCAAGCTTATGTGGTCTCTAGTCAAAGGTTCATCGACATTTATTATTAATTTCCCTTGGACATATTGGCCTTGGAAGGCGCTGTATGTCTCATTCACAACTCAGTTATTATTATCCTTCTCGGGATCTGATTATGATTGTATTTTTCAGGATTTAGTTATATTTATCCTTCAGAGTCAATTATGATCATCCTCGTCATGGCTCATATTATTATCTTCTTCGGATTTGGGTATATAANAGGTTCATCGACATTTATTATTAATTTCCCTTGGACATATTGGCCTTGGAAGGCGCCTTATGTCTCATTCACAACTCAGCTATTATTATCCTTCTCGGGATCTGATTATGATTGTATTTTTCAGGATTTAGTTATCTTTATCCTTCAGAGTCAATTATGATCATCCTCGTCATGGCTCATATTATTATCTTCTTCGGATTTGGGTATATAAGTCAATTGTGGATGTCCTGTTCAGGACTTGATTCTCTCCAATAGCGTCTCATGATTAAGTTTGAATCTTCATGCGGCCTCTTAATAAGGTGCTTTATTATTGCTCGGCCTGATAGGTTTCTTATGTGTTCATTGTTATTGTTTGGACATAGAATTGTTGTATACTGTGCAGATGTCATCTATGACACCAAGCAGATGCATTGTCCTGACTATTGAGATATCACTCATTAATCGTAGAATNCTTCATGCGGCCTCTTAATAAGGTGCTTTATTATTGCTCGGCCTGATAGGTTTCTTATGTGTTCATTGTTATTGTTTGGACATAGAATTGTTGTATACCGTGCAGATGTCATCTATGACACCGAGCAGATGCATTGTCCTGACTATTGAGATATCACTCATTAATCGTAGAATATCCGAACTTTCGCATTTATTGATCTTCTGTTATGAGTGACGAGTATGTTCGATATCTACACATGTTATTATCTGTCGACTTTAGGCTGCGTGCTTGCCTAACAGCATATAGTGGATCTCGACATATCTCCCTCAAGTTTCACCCCGCCAAAAAGGTGTGGATATTATCCCCAGACACGAGTATTCTACATAGCTTTCATCTCCTCCTAGGTATTCAAAGGAAATAAAAGTTGTGGGATAGTTGACAGAACATATATGTCAAGTGGGTCCCTTAACCCCACTTCCAATGAAGGAATTGACATATATCACAAGTGGGACCCTTAATGGCAGGTAATGAGTGTTTTTAGTAGGCTAGCCCATACCTATCTCCCTACATTGGTAGCTGCACAATACGGGATGGTAGGTAGCTCTCTAATCCTCTTGATATAAATATGGGTGAAAACCCAAGAAAGAGGGGGCCTCAAGTAGGAGCACCTCAGCTCCATACTCCACACACACATCTATATTATTTTCCTAATTTTATACACTAGTCTATTCATGTATTGATCACAATACTGACTTAGGCGCCGGAGGGCCCTCCCGTGGCTCAACGCCGGGGGTCCCTNTTGATCACAATACTGACTTAGGCGCCGGAGGGCCCTCCCGTGGCTCAACGCCGGGGATCCGTCTAACCTTTCTCTGCCTTGCAACTCATGGATTGGGTGATACTCAAAGACTAGGAGCGCACCTCGACAACTTTCAACTATTGGCAAATTTTTACCCGTGCATCTACCATGCTATAAATCAATAGACTTAAGCACATAAGCAAAAGTACTAGCATTTTCATTGACAATCTCAAGTACATTTAGAACAAAGAGACCCTGACTAAAATATCCCTTCCCCCACAAAAACATTGTTCTTAGTCATTATAAGCTTATCAGAATCAAAAGAGACTTTTACCCCTACCTTGCCAAGTAGTGACACAGACACAAGAGTCACACGAATCTCAGGAACATGGACAACATCACTCAGATATAGGAATTTTCTAGATGTGAGCTTGAGAAGAACTTTCCCTTTTCCCAGAACAAGAGTGGGCCTTGAATCGCCCATGTAAAAAGTTTCTTCTCCTTCCCTTACAAGTGTGTAGGAGATAAAAGCACTTTTGTTACCACAGATGTGTCTGGTAGCACCAGAGTCTACCACCCAGTCCTTGATGTCAGCAATCATGTTGACCTGAGAAACGACCGCAACAATGACATTTGCCTCAACCAGGTTTGCACTTGGTTTGGCAGGATTATCATTTCTCTTCATGTGCCTGCACTGTGGAGCATAATGCCCCGGTTTCCCACAGACAAAGCAGTTTCCTTTCTTTTTGAATGTCAGGTTGTTGGTCTTGGGGCCTATTATCAAATCTGCGATTTTTGTTGTCAGGCCTTCTGTTTTGAGTGTCTCTTTGGTTGGGCTTTTCCTCAACTAGGTTAGCCTTGGAGGATATCTCCTTGGCTTTGGCTGCCCTGAGTTGGTTTATATTTTTTTCTTCTATGATGATGTGGACGATGACATCTTCTAGTGACATGTATTCCTTCTTGTGTTTCAGAGATTGTTTGTAATTTCTCCATGACTCGGGAAGTTTTTCAATCAAAGCTCCTGCAACAAACTCTTCTTGGAGCTTAATATTTTCATTCTTTAGGTCGTCTAACAACTTATGGTATTCAATAATTTATGATTGGATGTCTTTTTCATCAGTTATCTAGTAGTGCAGAAAAATCCCAATGGCAAACTTTTGAGTCCCNCCATGACTCGGGAAGTTTTTCAATCAAAGCTCCTGCAACAAACTCTTCTTGGAGCTAAATATTTTCATTCTTTAGGTCGTCTAACAACTTATGGTATTCAATAATTTATGTTTGGATGTCTTTTTCATCAGTTATCTAGTAGTGCAGAAAAATCCCAATAGCAAACTTTTGAGTCTCAGCATCCTCAACTATATATTTCTTATTCATAGACTCCCATATTTCCCTAGTTTCTTTGTAGGGCCAGTATACATCAAATAAGTCATTAGCTAATGTGCTAAGGATTGTGTGCCTACAAATCNTTCATCAGTTATCTAGTAGTGCAGAAAAATCCCAATAGCAAACTTTTGAGTCTCAGCATCCTCAACTATATATTTCTTATTCATAGACTCCCATATTTCCCTAGTTTCTTTGTAGGGCCAGTATACATCAAATAAGTCATTAGCTAATGTGCTAAGAATTGTGTGCCTACAAACCTTGTAGGCATGTTCACATATTTTCAGTGATCTTTCATAGTGTTCAGAGTCCTTTTTAGGTTTGGGTTTAGATAGGTCAAAGGCAATCCCTATAATATCTAAAGCAGAGAAGACTCTTTCTTGCCATCTCTTAAAGAAGGTTCCAGAAAACATCTCAATTTTTGAGGTGTTGGGAAAAGCCTTAGCGGGAACCAATGCAGCATCCATAGCCATAATCTATTCTTAAGATTGTTGTAAAATAATTGTGGATACGGATGCTAAAAACAATAATAAAGAGAGATCAAAGAAACTTATCGGTCAAGCCGTGAGTAGTCGCTGCCCTTAAGAATTTTGTTCCTCAAAGTACGAAGCTCTGTGCAGCAAGACAATGGCAACTACCCTCCAGGATATAATGACCACTTCTCGCAAACATGTACTCGTAATGTGAAGAGACAGGAACAACTCGAACTAGATTAGCCCACTAATTAAAGATATCAAAAAAACTAAAAGAGGAAATAATTTTTTGATAAGGATAAAAGAAAGAATAAGGCTTCAGAATTTTGACGGAAGAAAGAACTCGATGTCTTTGGCGTGAGAAAAGCTTCGGTGAGCAGACCAAGATGAGAAGAATTGTTTGCTTGCTTGTCTCTGCACAGTCCCAAGAGAATGAAAAGGGAAGGAGCCCTTTGATTGAGCCAATTAAGGCTCCCAACGGCCAATTGATTGAGTGGGCAGCATACCATTTATTTTGCAAATGTGAAAGTAATTGGTCAGTAGCCATTTTAGGAAAATAAGTATAAATTTAAGGAAAGTGAATATATGAGATTCCCATGTGAACAAATCAACATCAAGATTGCAAATCTTTGACTTTTGAAAAATCCATGTGCTCTAATATACAACAGTGGGTTGGGTGGATCTGGCGGTAGCCGTGGCGGTGATAGCTGAGGGGACTACTTTGATCGTTAGCGTTATAATAACATCACTGAATCCTACAAAATTAGAATGTCTTACATAATATCATCCTAAAAAAAAGTAACTATACTATTGCTCGTAGAAAACCTTTAGTAACAATGAAAAGAACCAAATTGAAGATGAGGAAATACTGAAATGGATTAAAAAAAATGTAATTCCATTTGTTCTTCAATTTATTACAATTATTCAATGTAGTTTTGAACTTCGTCATGATGCATTCGTTTCAGAAATAATGTAATGTATTTCAATTTCTATTTATGTTATGTCAATTTGCCTTTGAAGCATGAAAATATATTCATAATTCGAAATCTTTTAATTGTTACAACGTATTCTAACAAACCAACTACAAATTATCAAATCCATAGCTTAGAACGGCACAATTACACAACAAAAACAGTTATTGCAGTCTAATCGAACAAAAATCCACTGTCGCATAATGGTTATTTCTTCATAGCTGCAACAAACATGTCACTAATATGCAAGATATAATTTGTAATCTATGGACTGAATGTCTAGCAACCTTGTCAAGTACACGCCACTCAGGTGGACCCTTAAATGGGTCATAGAACCTAACAAGGCTGTGAAAATGTATTCTAAAAACTTGTTATAGAAATGTACATGATTATAAAAGGTTGTTTGCTAAATTGTAGGAGCCCATTTGGTGAAGAAGCTTGAGCTCATTGCACCTAAGAATTCATGCCTGGAATTAAGTGAACCATTTCATCACAGAATATGGCTTTTCACGCATCTTTAATCACAGAGAAAACAAATAGATATCTAACAAGGGAAAGTAATAAAATAGAGATACAAATTCATTATGGAAAGCAAAAGGTGAAAAAAAAAAAGGAACAATATATGACTGTCTTAAAGAACTTCACCTTATTACAAATGACCTATAATACAAATCAGCGAGGGCTGTTTATCGGGAACATCATCTGATTACTGTCCAAGCTGTATTGTCCAGAAATCTCCCCAGTAGTATTGTAAGGGCTTATTGGGACAGTATAAAGATCTGATGGTTCACTCTCACTCATTAATCCCACAACTTCTTCATGGTTTCGTTGATGAACCCACGGATGTTTGGTGAACTTTCTTAAACCTTCAAGTTCCATTGCAATTTCCTTCATTGTTGGTCTATCTTCACCATTCAGGTTAAGGCATTTCTTTACAAGCTCTGCAATTGCTTGGAGCTGCTCTAGAGTGCCCTCCCTCACCACCCGAGGATCAAGAATTTGAAATAAACGGTTTTCCTTCAAGTACATGATGAAACATGTGGCCAAATTTCTTTCATCTTGAGGTCTCTCCATACAAAGAGGTTTTTTCCCGGTTAAGAGCTCTGCAAGAACCACTCCAAAGCTATAAACATCACTTTTATCCGTTAATTGGCTTGTATGGAAGTATTCAGGATCCAAATACCCTAATGTCCCTTGAACTAAAGTACTCACTTGAGTTTGATCAATGGGAACCAGCCTTGAAGCTCCAAAATCTGATATTTTTGTCGTGTATTGGTCATCTAACAATATGTTAGCTGACTTAACATCTCTATGAATGATGGGCTTCGAAGCTGCCGAGTGAAGATAAGAAAATGCACTAGCAGCTTCTGTGGCTATCCTTAAACGATTTTCCCATGATAACCAAGCCATTCCTCCTCTGTTGTGAATATGATTGTAAAGAGTACCATTGGACACATATTCATAGACCAACAAAGGGACTTCAGCCTCCAAACAGCACCCCAAGAGCTTCACCACATTTCGATGATTAACCTGTGTAAGAATAACCACTTCATTGATGAATTGTTCTATTTGGCTCTCATCCATTATTCTAGACTTCTTGATTGCAACTATACGTTGATCGTTAAGAATTCCTTTGTACACCATACCATAACCTCCTCGGCCAAGAATTCGATCATCAGCATATTTGTTGGTTGCTTTCTCTAGCTCTTCAGCTGTAAAAACTTTTGTTGACTCGACACCACCCTCATTTGAAGAAATTTGTTGTTTCAATAGTAAACCACCATTTTGCTGAAAGAACTTCTCCCTCAGTTTAATAAGCTTCCTTTTCTCGATAGTAACATATAGCCAAGTAACTCCAATGAGTAATGACAAAAAGCCAAACCCCATGCCTGCATTTTTTTCCAAAGACATATTAAACACATCTGATGGAAATAAAAATCATGTAAACCAGTTTTCCCTAACAACAAAAATGAAGAGTTCAAGGTCTGGATTGGGCAGATGCTCCTAGTTACCGATTTGTTAGTTCGGATCGGAACTTGAATTTGCGATAGGGACTTATTTTCTTTGCCTTTCCAGTTGTAAATTTCAAGGACCCGGTTTGCAAAAAGATTCTTATTAAAAATGGGAAATAAACTAATCAAATGATTACCTAGAGAGAACTTGATTACTGGGAATTGTGAGGTCTCAGCAATGCAACCACGCCCATTTTTTTTACCATCACCATAGTATCCATGCGGACAAGAACAATTATAACTCCCCGGAGTGTTTATGCAAATCTTTTCACACACATTGTTGTTCAGATCTGCACACTCGTTGATATCTATCAAACAAAATATACCAAACCATACTGGTCAGAAATAATAGTGAATAATATTGGTCAGAAATAATAGATAATGCTACTGTACCTAAAAAAAAAATATATTTGTATCATACCATGTACAACTTTTTAAGAAATACTGTTTAGTTTTTTTGAATCATTTATAACTTTTTTTTAGAATTTTTGCCATCGAAAAAATAATAACTTAACTCTTTAAAAGCTATGACTTGAACCCTAAAAGTTATAATATGACTTAATTCCCCAAAAAGTTATTATTCGTATCCTTTCTTTCTTTTTTTTCTATATGAAAGAAGAAAGTGATGTTGTGTGGTAAGTCAAAGTAGACTAATTACTCGTGGTTTGCTTAATTGGCCACAACGGTCGGATTTCTATTTTTCTGTTATTAATTTTAGAAAAATACTAAAAAAACACGAGATTTTAGAATAGCTCTTTCAACTGTCGTTCGTTCAGGATCAATCCAACATTTTAGTTGTAATTAGATTGCAAAAACTTGTATCTTTATGCCAAAAAATTTGTAAACTTCTGTACCATACCTACTTATTCAACCTAGTCAAATCCTAGACAAAAAGTTATCGAAGAAAAAAACCAACCTTGGCAGCCTGGGCTGAGGTAGGGATTGCCCTCATAACCTTGATTGCAGCTACAACGATAACCTCCAAAACCACTATCCGAGTCATTACAATAACTGTTCCCTTGGCAAGCATAATCATTTGCAGCTTTGGCTTGTGCACAACTCAGATTCCCGATCACCCAGTCAAGCACTATCGGGACAGTAGCCAAAGTCCTGTTTATGAAGTCTGGATCCAAGAAATCCGATGCACCGCGAAACGTGAAGGCATTCTCTTCCCCAAGAAACGCATAGCTGCAAGGATCAAAGGACCAGACCGTGGTGTGGTTCTCCAAACTACGGAGAGAAGTGAAGTAGTACTTTAGACCCTTAGGCATGGATGTTTGGCAACAACCAATGCCAGAACAATAGCCACCAAGCACGTCCTCGGCTTTGGCACAGAGAGACACACACCCACTGGTGAAATTACGTCCCTCTGAGCCAGTAATCAATGCCAAATCGTCGCAGCCGATGACTGTGAACTTATTTGCGTCGGAGAAGCTGTATGGGCTTGAGCCTAATAAATTGGTCCAAGCTATGTTTTCATGGGTCAACGCACCCAATCGGTCATAGCACTTGTTAGCCACGACGTTGGTAATGCGAACCTGGGAGTCTGATATGTCTCGAACCTCAAGGCCACCTATAAATGGCTTGGGAGGGTTGAAAGAAGTGTTGCAATTGATCTCAAGCCAGCTGTCAATGGCACAACCGGTTCCGAGGCCAATCCCAAATGGGTATGGGACGGTGATGTTGCCGCATTGGCGTTGGCAGCCGGGTTTGGTGATGTTGGCGCCTTTACTGATCATGTACGTGGTGGTGGTGGTGGTATTGGTGGTGGTGGAGGGGTTTATCTGGGATGTGACCAAAGTGAACATGATCAACCCATAAAGACGAAACCAGCCAACATGCAGAAGCATTTTTCTCTGCATTTTGATGTATGGGCATAGAGATAATGTACCAGCCATTAATATAGACCACCTTACTAAGCCAAAGAATACTATTTCATTGATCAGAACGTGCAGTTATGTCATGTCCATATCCTCCATGTATTCTGGTATATAATTGTATAATTAAATACTTATAGATACTAACAGAGCGTATTCTTTTTTTTTCCCTTTATATATAGGAGTAGATTAGTATTGCAATGAATAACTAACTATTATAATTTCTCAATTTCTAAATAATATATCTATAACAAATGACAAATTATTGAGAGAGATATAAAGATAAGCCCAAAGGAAAACACAATAAAATGGGTAAGAAAATGAAATAAGAAATTAATTTTTACCATTGATAAGGATTAACCCTACAAATTCTTGATTGACAAAATCTTGAAAGAAGAGAAATAACAAACTAGGCGAGGTCCTTTGCATAACAAAGCTTAGTCTTGTTAGATACTAATTATTTTCACACAATTATAAAGTTAACTGACAAATCATCTTTATAATAAAAATTATTTTTTTGTATTCCCTTTTTGAGATATCGATTAGGCCACCTTTTTTGATTTTCAAGTTCCTCTGTATAGGTATATTTTTTGTTGCAAGTAACTTTTTATTACAACAACAATATACCATCGGAGTAAGATCTAATTTTATATGCCAGTATTTTATTGGTGATAATCACCAATTGAATAAAATTGACAACTCTAGATGCAAATGAAATTTATATTATATTCATCAAATCAGTTGAGGAGGAGAATGATGAAATTGGGTAGAGGAGTGGGAATCATGGTAAAGCGTGTGTATGCAGAAATTGTGTAAGTTGACGGACTTACGAGGGAGGTTGCCAAATGCCAGTCATTTCCTTCTACTAAAGTCTTCCACTTATACCAGAGCCACATACTTTTTGAGTGTTGACTAATTTATTAACAAAAGAGAAAGAGGGCTGCAATGTTAGAATTGAAATTGCTTTGTCCTTGCCCTTGTCCTTGTCCATGTCCGGTGATAGACAAAGACTTGCGAGCGTTCTATGGGGCTAAAGATTCGGTCATAGTTGGCATTATACAAAATGTTTGGAATTACACCAACGATCTGCCCTAAGTCCATATTTATTCGCCTTAACTATGAATTAACTCACTAAGCACATTCAAGATAATGTCTCATGGTGTATGCTATTTGCAAATAATATTGTCTTAGTAGATGAAAATTGAAAGATGATCAACAATAAATTAAAAATTTAGAGAAAGATGCTCAAGTCAAAAAGATTTAAAATAAGTAGAAGTAAGACTGAATACATGCAATACAATTTTAGTAATAGAAAAAATAGACATAGTGAAAAAGTTTGGAGAAGATATAACTCATAGAATTAACGCCAATTTGCTTAAGTGGAGAAAAGCCTCTGACATGTATATTATATGATAGAAAGATACTAATAAAATTGAAAGACAAGTTTTACCGAATAGTTATAAGAATATCAATGTTGTATGTAACGGAATATTGGACAACTAAGAAATAATACAGTGACAAAAATATGTATAGCGGAAATGAAAATATTAAGGTAGATATATAAAAAATTAGAAATGATAAAATACGAAATGATCGTATCAAAGAAATGGTAGTAGTAGCTCTAATTGATGACAAGTTATGAGAGAATAGATTAAAATGGTTTGACCATATTCAACGGAAACAAATAGAGACACCAGTTAAAAAAATGATAGAATTTCTCTTAATGGGAGTAGGAGTGTATGGTAAACCTAAATTAACAATGAACAAAATAATAAGAAAAAATATAAAATATTTAACTTAAATAAGCGTATAACACATAACCGAAATGAATGGTGAAGACGGACTCATATAATCAACCCCCAAATGATTGGAACATAAGACTTGATTTGGGTAAACTTGATTGTACTATTACTATACTTGTAAATTGCATAGATTTATCCCCCTCTTTTTTGCTTCTAAAATTTTAGAGATGTCCCCAATATAATTTTTTTCTCTCAATCTAGTGCATGAGAACCACTATGACTTCATGATTTGGAGAATTTCAAATATGCACAATTTAATCAGAGATGCTATTTTAATAAATCAAATTACATACGCCCAAAAAATAGAGATAGTATTTCACTTGATTAGAGAAATTGGTTGTCTCGATATTTGAAGAGGATTTGTGAAGATTAGGAAGTGCGAGAAGGAGTAGCAAGGAGGAATCCCTTTAATATGGGCAGCAAGGAGGAATCCCCTTAATATGGGCAGCAAGGAGGAATCCCCGGAAATGTTAGAATCTCAAGAGCCAATTCTATCTTTCAATACACCAAAAAAAAAAAAGAGATATAATTTGTGCAGGTCAATTCGTATTCAAATTGAAATATTAAATAATTAGGCAAAAAATGAAAAAAAATCGATAACATTAGGTTAAATAATGCGGATTTAACTTGGATTGAAAGTTTTATAATACAGATTGAACTTGGTTGATTCCTCAACCCTCTCCAACCCATTTTAATTGAATCCGAGAAGTAAAAAATAATTTTTATTTCAAATACTGAGTTGCTATCTTCTTTGACAAGAAGAAGTAGTTTTTTTTTATTTGTCCCTGATAAATGGTTTTCCTCCTACGTCAACACCGCATTAATTAGACCGAATGAAATAGTTGGTCCAAACAAACACAACCGTCATTCTAGTTGCCCATATTTTCTCTTGCACTGGTTCCTCTGTCCTGTGCTTGACTTGCTCATGAGTCAGGATGACTTGTATTTATGACTCAAGCCAAGTAGATTTTTCGTAGAGTGTTCTAAGGTTTCAGTCTGGTCATTTTTGTGGCTGTCAACAAAGCAAAGAGCTCCCAAAATCAATTTCCTTCTTCCACTTATACCAGAGCCACATACTTTTTGAGTGTTGACTAATTTATTAACAAAAGAGAAAGAGGGCTGCAATGTTAGAATTGAAATTGCTTTGCCCTTGCCCTTGTCCTTGTCCATGTCCGGTGATAGACAAAGACTTGCGAGCGTTCTATACTGCTAATGATTCGGTCATAGTTCGCATTATTTAGCCGCTAATTTCTGCACCCATGTGATAGCTACTGACTTTCGAATTCTCCCTATCTTTTCTCTTAATATTCAGAATGTTTGGAAATTTATTTCTTCTTACTTACACTATTACTGTACTTCAATCATGGTGGATGAATTCACTAAAGATTAGCCTTAAATACATATTTATTCTCTTTAATTGTGGATGAATTCACTAAGCACATTCAAGATGATATCACATGGTGTATGCTATTTGCAAATGATATTGTCTTAGTAAATGAAACTTGAAGAAGATTAACAATAAACTAAAAATTTGGAGAGAGACACTCGAGTCAAAAGGGTTTAAAATAAGTAAGAGTAAGACTGAATACATGTAATGTAATTTTAGTAATAGAAGAATTAAACATAGTGAAAAAGTTAGAAGACAATGTAACTCATAGAATCAACGTCAGTCGGCTTAAGTGAAAGAAAGCCTCAGACATATATATTATATGATAGAAAGATACAAATAAAATTGACAGGCACGTTTTATCGAATAACTATAAGGGCATCAATGTTGTATAAGACTGAGTATTGGACAACTAGGAAATAACATAGTGACAAAAATGAGTATAGCAGAAATGAGAATGTTAAAGTATATATATAAAAGCTAAAAATGATAAAATATGAAATGATCGTATCAAAGAAATGGTAGTAATAGTGCTAATTGAGGATAAATTGAGAGAGAATAAATTAAGATGGTTCGATCATATTCAACAGATGTTGATAGAAATACTAATTAAAAAAAGTGATAGAATTTCTCTTAATAGTACTAGGAGTAGGGGTAGACCCAAATTAACGGTGAACAAAATAATAAAAAAATATATAAAAATATTTAACTTAAATGAGTGTATAACGCATAACTGAAATGAATGGTGAAAACGGAGTCATATAGCCAACCCCAAATAATTAGGGCATAAAGTTTTATTTGGTTTAGTTTGATTTAGTTATACTATTACTATACTTGTAAATTGCAAAGATTTATCCTCCTCTTTTTTTCTACTAAAATTTTAGAGATGTCCCCAATATAATTTTTTTCTCTCAATCCAGTGCATGAGAACCATTATAACTTCATGATTTAGAGAAAATATAATATGCACAATTATATCAGAGATAAGTTATTTTAATGAATCAAATTACAGATGCCCGAAAAGTAGAGAGAGTCTTTCACCTGGTTGGAGGGTTTGGTTGTCTGAAGTTTTGAAGAGGAAGCACGAGGGAGTTGGATAAATGTTAGGTTTGATTTGTTTACGTTACTGTATAGTGTTTCTTTTAATGTTTTGTAATCTTTTCATATCTTAAGTACTATAATCTTCGTTCTTTTCATGAAATAGAAATTTACAAGCGCCCAAATTATAAAGTGGGGATCATCTTATATGAAACTTGAACAAACTTTTTAGAATAAAACAATGCAATTTAGGAGGAATCAATTAACATTTTATAAAATTAACTTTGTCGTCCTTGCATATATTTACACAATTCACAAGGTTTAAAAGCAATATAAAATTTCATGATTGATGATGTGATACTCTTTGTATATGTGGTCCTTATTTGTCATACTAAAAATGCAATAGGGTCTAAACCCAAAAAAAAAAAAAAATTATTTGATTGTATTTCTACATATTCTTTTCAATTTCATTAGACTTGTCTCCCCTATATTATATTTGTGTATCTCTTCCTAGGCGTAGGCCTTTTGGTGTCCAATTGTGTAATATATGCAAGGTTGGAAGATTATACAACGAAATGGTATTATAAAGTCTTCGTAGTCAACAAGTAAATTACAATTATTTTCCAATTATTTTTCCCCAAATGAAATTATTGTTATTTTTCTTCCGAATTAAATTGAGTAGTTTAAAAGTAAGAAACTACATATTTTAAAATTAAGAAATTCTATAAATGTCAATTCTTAGTGTTTGGTGGTTAATTTAAACTGTTTATTATTATTCTGGTTGTTCCACTTTA